CTGAGCACGAATTCAAAATAGACTTAAAGGAGTCCTCCCTCTTAAAACTTTTTGTACAATTAAGGAGGACTGGTATTAATAAAGGGGCTGTGCAATATCATTTGTGAGACAATACTTAGATGTTTGGATTCTTTCTATGTGCTAATGTTTATATGATAATTAATATAATGGCGAATAATTTGTAAGAAATATAGGAAAAAATAATATATAAAAACGAAAAAAATATATAAAAATTACTCGAGATACTTTGTAGAAGAGAGAAGAGATTGGATTTATACCCTGCCCTTCACTACCCGAAGGTGTCTTAGAGCGGCTTACAAACTCCTTTCCCTTCCCCTCCCCACAACAGACACCCTGTGAGGTGGGTGGGGCTGAGAGAGCTCTGACAGGAACTGCTCTTTTTCAAGAACAGCTCTTATCAGAACTACGGCTTGCCCAAGGTCATCCAGCCAGGTGCAAGTGGAGGAGTGGGGAATCAAACCCAGTTCTCCCAAATTAGAGTCTGCCCACTTAACCACTACACCAAACTGAGGAGGAGGAGGAGATTGGATTTATACCCCGCTCTTCACTACCCAAGGGAGTCTCAGAGCGGCTTACAAACTCCTTTCCCTTCCCACAACAGACACCCTGTGAGGTGGGTGGGGCTGAGAAAACTCTGACAGAAACGCTCTTTTTCAAGAACAGCTGTGCCAGAGCTTGTGACTGACGCAAGGTCACATCAGCAGGTGCAAGTGGAGGAGTGGGGAATCAAACCTGGCTCTCCCAGATTAGAGTCCGCGCATTTAACCACTACACCAAACTAGCTCTCGTCTGTAGCACGGCATTTCGTCTGTATCACGGTATCGTCTGTAGCACGGTATTTGCTGATTTTTGGTACTTCCTACTTACTGTGGGTCCTATTTTGGTTTTGTGAGTGGCATGCAGACGGCATTCTGCATAACAAACACGGAAGGTGGCCGGGAACGTGTCACGCAGGTGGGCAGAGATGGGTGTTGCCACTCCGGCACCTGTTTTTCAGGGAATTAATTGATGGGTCGTTCCCGGGTTGACCTGGACGCCCCAGATCTCAGCACCTAAGCAGGGGCAAGCCCAGATTAGAACTTGGATGGGAGACCCATTAAAAGAAGTCCAGGGTTGCTACGCAGAGGCAGGCAGTGGCAAACCCACCTCTGCTTGTCTCTTGCCTTGACCTGGATGGCCCAAACTGGCCAGATCTCAGCAGATCTCAGCACCTAAGCAAGGTCAGCCCAGATTAGAACTTGGATGGGAGACCCATTAAAAGAAGTCCAGGGTTGCTACGCAGAGGCAGGCCACGGCAAACCCACCTCTGCTTGTCTCCTGCCTTAACCTGGATGGCCCAAACTGGCCAGATCTGAGCAGATCTCAGCACCTAAGCAGGGTCACCCCAGGTTAGTACTTTGGTGGGAGGCCAGCTAGGATGTTTGGGGTCGCTACGCCGAGGCAGGCAGTGGCAAGTGACCTCTGTTCAACTCTTTCCTTTACCTGGATGGCGCAGGATAGTGTCAGCTACACTGCCATGAAAGTTGGGGAGGTTGGTCTGTGTCTGGTTAATTGCTATTGCTTTCCTTTCAGGTTAATTGCTACTGCATTCCTTTCTGTGATTTCTCTGCTGTGCGCCGAAATGCTTATCTATACAGATGTGCAGGAGGGTGTTGTAGTGTCTGGGATTTCCCTAGGTGCCGTGGGAGAGTGCTCGTTCTCAGCTTCAGCTACCTAGCGGTCTCTAAGCCTTAGCCCGCACGCGGGAGGGCGCCTAATTGGCCAGTACTGTGGGGGGTGTTGCATACAAATACCCTATATCCTATTATGCCCATGGGGCCGCCACCATTCTTAACGATGCCTACGTTACTGCATCTATAGCTCTGCAATAAAAGTATTACCGTTCCTGAATACGTGTACTTCGTTGTTGGCTGTGGGTTCTGACAGATGGCCCGTTCTCGTCAGACCTTAGTAGCTAAGCAGGGTCGGGCCTGGCTAGCATTTTGAATCATAGGGTTGGAAGGTACCTCAGGGGTCATCTAGTCCAACCCCCTGCACAATGCCGGAAATTCACAGATACCTCCCCCTCCACACCCGTAGGGACCGCTGTTCCATGCCCAGAAGATGACAAAAAAAAACCCTCCAGGATCCCAGGCCAAACTGGTCTGGAGGAAAATGGCTTCCTGGCCCCAAAGTGGCGATCGGCATTTCCCTGGCCGTGTCAGAAAGGGCCACGAGAACTAAGCACTGAGGCAACCCTTCCGGCCCTCCCTCTCGTGATCTGCCCAAGTTCACAGAATCAGCACTGCTGTCAGAGGGCCACCTAGCCTCTGGACAGGAGACCACCAAGGAAGGCTAGGGTCGAGACGCAGAGGCAGGTGATGGCAAACCCCCTCTGTTTGTCCCATGCCTTGGAAGAAGGACCACCGAGGAGGTCCCGGGTCACCACGCAGAAGCAGCCGATAGCCAGCCACCTCTGCTCATCTCTGTTACCCAAACTGGACCCGGAGAAGGGGGAATTAGCTTTAAAAAGGGTTCCAGAAAGGAATAACGTATGTATACCAGGTCTGTACATACCAGGATGGATCTCGGTAGTGGAAACCCAAAATGAAATTACAATGAAAGCGAGTGAGAGAGAAAGTGATTTTAAACAAATAGCTTTATTGCATATAAAATAAAGCAAAAGAAGGGAAAAGATAAATAACGCAGACTGGGCACATGAGAACTAAATCCCTAATTTGAGCCAGTTTCGTGTAGTGGTTAAGAGCACGGACTCTGATCCGAAGAAATTGGATTTATACCCCGCCCTTCACTGCCTGAAGGAGTCCCAGAGCGTCTTACAATCTCCTTTCCCTTCCCCTCCCCACAACAGACACCCTGTGAGCAGTGTTCCCTCTAAGCTAAGTTAGTGGGGGCTAGCTCACAGATTTTTGTCTCTGCTCAGGAAGGAGGGCTCCAGAGCAAACTAATTTATGCAGCAGCCAAATGGCTGGCTCACAACTTTAATGCCGGTAGCTCACAAAGTAGAATTTTTGCTCACAACACTCCGCAGCTTAGAGGGAGCATTGCCTTTGAGGTCAGTGGGGCTGAGAGAGCTCTCTCCAAAACTGCCCTTGAGAGAACAGCTCTGAAAGATCTCGTGAATGACTCAAGGTCACACCAGCAGCTGCATGTGGAGGAATGGTGAGTCCGCGCTCCTAACCACTACACCAAACTATGCCAAATAAGGAGCGCCTATTATTATTATTTATTAGGCTTATATACCCCCCTCCCTGCATATATACATATATATACATATAAACACATAATTACATGTCGTTGTTGTTGTTCAGCCACACAGTCGAGTCCGACTCTTCACAACCCCGTGGACCACATCACGCCAGGCCCTCCTGTCTTCCCTAATGCTCCGGAGTTTGCTTAATTTCATGTTCGTTGCATCTATGACATTGTCTGACCATCTCACACTTTGCCGTCCCCTTCTCCTTTGACCTTCAGTCTTTCCCAGCATCAGGGTCTTCTCCAGTGAGGGCTCCCTTCTCATTGGGTGGCCAAAGTTGCATAGAAACCATTAAATAATCAAAACTAGAATTCGACTGTTACCCAGATATTCACAAGGCACCATAATACAGTTCTAATCCCCAATTACCGGGGTGGGGGGGGCGTAAGAGGCAACTGGGAGGCCGATGGTTGTCAAAAACTATTACAAAGAAAACAGTCATGAGTAGGGTTGCCAAATCCGTCTTCGCCGGGGCGGGGGGGCTCCCGGCCGGCGTTGGGGGTATGCGCGCTGCCTGCGCATCCCCCAGAAGTGACGTGGGCACGCTGGGGGCGGGGCCACGGCCATACAAGGGAAAACCATAGAGTTTTCCCTTGTATGGCTGTGGCCCCGTGACGCGCACGCCGGGGCGGGGTTCCCCCGGGCCCCGATTCTGCCGCATCGGAAATCGGGGCTTCAAAGCGGGGGATTCCCCGCCCCCCGCCCACATTTGGCAGCCCTAGTCGTGAGAGTCTGAGCCACAAATCAAGCCGTCAACAAGACTTGCAAAGAAAATGCTTACTATGTATTCCAGTCCAAAGCACTGCAACATGCAACACAATAAACCAATTCCTACAAATCATAAGAAAATCCTAGTGCAAAGGTACACCGTCGTCGTCGTCTCCGGATGATATAACGACGTTTCAAAATTGGATCTTCCTCAGGAAATGTCAGAGTAGTGCAAAAGTTCTCTTGCTCATAAAGTGCTTTACAACAAGTCATGAGAGAGAACACATTCAGATAGGACGCCGATCTCAGTAAATGTTTGGGCTCAAATGTGCTGCTAAGCTTCTAATGGATCCCAGGCGCCTAGACTTAACAACTGTATTCGTATGTATACAGGGGTCATTTCGTAGAAAAAGAGGTGCAGGAGCTCATTAGCATAATTTATTAGCATAACTCATTTGCATATGCCACACCCCCTGACATCACCGGACGTGTGTCAGAAGGCAACACCCACCGCTCAGGCTCCACTGAGGCCTGTTTTGGGTTGCTGGGTGTTGGGGGGGGGGGGCGTGTAGATCTGCCCTCGCAGAGGAGGGAGAGCTTGTACCTGAAGGCGGGGGGGGCTCTGCAACTTACCTGGCTGTTTCTTGCTCCTCGTGGCCCAACTGAGGGCTGCTGGGAGCAGGGGGTGGGGCTTGTTGTATGTGCCCACCCCCTGGGCTCCTTACTGCCGGAGCTCCGCTCTTGTGCGCTCCCTCAGGAAAGGACCCCTGGATTTATACCCCACACTTCAGTCGCAGTCTCATAGTGGCTTCCAAACTCCTTTCCCTTGCAAACTCCTTTCCTGTGTGCTCCCGCAGGAAATGACCCCTGTATGTATATATACTGGCCACTGTGTGAGACAGGAGGCTGGACTAGATGGACTACTGTCCTGATCCTGCGGGGCTCTTCTTATGTTCTTATGCTCTTTTGGAAATAATATGAGTCTCTCTCCCTTTTTCTCTCCTCCCCGCTCTAGATGGCGCAGGGGGCTGTGGATGTGGAACCGGGCCTGGGTACGCAACGCCTCTGGATGCCATGAACGGTAAGCCTTTTTGACCACCTAGTTTGCTGGAGGCTCAGCCAAAGGGCGCTTTCTTGAGGAGGGGGGTCCCCTTTGAGCCTGTGGGGTCCTTTGGAAATCTGACACCGCGTGGTGGGCGCAGCAAGAAAATGGCTGCCGCGGGAGGCGGGGCCAGCCACAAAATGGCTGCCACGGCTTACTCCAATCACACAGTGAAGATCCTGGTGCTGTGCTGGCAGCTGCTGCCAAAGTCACGTTTTTAAAAAACCTGCACAGCCAATCAGAAGCCTTGCTGAGCAAAAGCCCACCCACTTTCTACGTTGGGGACCCCATGTTCTAGAAAGTGCCCTCCTTTCCCACAATGCAGCTGTTCTGGAAAGTTTTTCTCTGGCATCGGATCCCCTGGGAACGTTCTCTATCTTCTCAGCCCGAGGAGAAGAGGGGCGATAGCCAAATTAAAGCGGTTATTTCATGCGTCACCCGCCTGGGGTTCCAGGGAACATCAAAGAGTTCTGGAATCGGATGCTGAGTTGGCTCTGCCGCCTGATGAAGAAGGATCCTGCGGCCAAAATCCCTGGCGCTTCGGTGACTCGCCAGGAAGACTTCTGTGACACCGGCCAATCTTCCCAGCAATTTCCAAAGAGCTATTTCAGCCGTGCACCAGTTTCGATTGGCAAAAGACAAGGAGCCCCTCTTTTAGTCCTTGAAAGGCCTAATAAGGACCAGCAAATAGTCCCCTGTTCTGGTTAGGGAAACTATACTGAAGTACAGTTAGATTTGAGTATAGTTGTACCATAATGGAGAGTGGGGAATGGTGTGGAGGAGGAGGAGATTGAATTTATACCCCGCCCTTCACTACCCAAAGGTGTCTCAGAGCGGCTTGCAAACTCCTTTCCCTTCCCCTCCCCACAACAGACACACCCTGGGAGGTAGGTGGGGCTGAGAGAGCTCTTGACAGAAACTGCTCTTTTTCAAGAACAGCTCTTATCAGAGCTACGGCTTGTCCAAGGCCACCCAGCCAGGTGCAAGTGGAAGAGTGGGGAATCAAGCCCTGTTCTCCCAGATTAG